GTGTTGTTCGCGACGGCCCAGGAGCCTTTGCGCTGCAGCGATCATGGCCCCCGGCCGCTGCGCGGCCCGGTGCCAGGTACTCCACGGCCCGGCACCGGTCCGCGGACCGGGGGTTGGGGACCACTAATATAGATGAGTCAATTGCCAAGTGCCTGAATTTTGATAACATGGCCATGGGGGGTCAGTGGTGGGTTGCTCTTACCGTCACTACTGGTATGTTGATTGCGATCTGTTCGTCCATGCGCCGGACGTGCACTTTGCACGCATGTGCAATCTACCGCCCCTGTGACAACCAGCTGCTTGTTGGGGCTCACGCAGGCACTACACTTTATGCGCGCATGTGCACTTTGCAGTTTGCCATAAAAACAGCTATAGAGCACGGGCGCGAGCAAATAAGCCACTGTACTGTTACGCCCTCAGCTGCTCCTGGCTACGACCGGTACTGCCGTACCCACAGCAACCCACCTCTGGTGGGGGTGTTGCAACGGTTATAACTATGAAAAACAGTCGTAAGTCACATTTTTCAGTACCATTGTGATTCTGAACGGTCATTCAATGGACTGTTGTAAGTTGAGGACTACCACAAGTAAATGGACAATATTTTTAGTTTATGGACTACTGACAGGGATGGGGTGAATGTTTAATGAAAGGGTCAAGATTGGGCTCTTTATCTCAACTTTTTTGGCCTCTTACTCCCCTTAGCTACCTTTGAACCCAGAACCCGACAAGTTATTCTGTTTATTGTTAAAACTGATTTTAAACTGATTTGATCTTTTCGTCTTCAACAGATGAGAGTCTTCAAGCTGGCAAAGTCTTGGCCCACCTTAAATACCCTGATAAAAATCATCTTAAATTCAGTGGATGCTCTGGGAAACCTCACTCTGGTCCTGGCCATTATCGTCTTTATTTTTGCTGTATTTGGGATGCAACTGTTTGGGAGCAGTTATAAACTCTCCTGCAAGAAGTTAGATCCCACTTGCAAAGTTCGCTGGCACATGGAGGATTTTTTTCATTCTTTCCTCATTATCTTCCGAATCCTGTGTGGGGAATGGATTGAGACCATGTGGCACTGCATGGTGGTGGCTGACCGGTCCCTGTGCCTGCTGGTCTTCGTGATGGTGATGGTGATTGGGAATTTAGTGGTGAGTCTCCCTGAGCTTCCTTCTTCTCTTTACTGTCTGTCTGTCCGTCCGTCCGTCCGTCCGTCCATCCATCCATCCATCCATCCATCCATCCATCCATCCATCCATCCATCCATCCATCCATCCA